CCTGTTTTTCATCACTCTCAAGGACTTCCCTGGCAAGTGCTAGTACCACATCATGGAGAGAGACAAAACAACGCCCGTCTCTCAATGGTGACTTTGTCAGCAGTTGCTGACGGTGGGACACATGGCATTAAATGTGACTTTTTCTCTTGGGAGGAGCTTAAAACTTTGACTTTGCCACCTGAAACATATAGGATTTGAATTCAGGCACCATAATCCTTGTGCAGCAACATAGCCATCCCCAAAAGTTAACTGAGCTGCTGTTTAAGGCAAGAACTTCAATGACTTTACTCAATGGGGCGCTGTGAGGGGAGAAGGGTGTGGAGGAGGCATGGATCGTCAACTCAGGTTGGGTGTCCGCTTATGCTTTTCCACCATGCTTACCGGATGGCGTTTACTGCATGCAAAATCTAGAGAACAGAGAGCACACCCGACGAGGATGGGATTCGAACCCACGCGTGCAAAGCACAATGGATTAGCAGTCCATCACCTTCACCACTCGGTCACCTCGTCATAGCCTTACCTCCAAAATTGAAAAAAAAAATGGGTTGACAGAAAAATATTAAATTTAAGAATATTAGAATATATTTTTTAGAATATTCAATTTTTTTGACTTTGTTATTGTAAATCAGCTATATTATCCACCCACGCAAGAAAAAGTTGTAAGAAATTATTTGAAAGGGCAGCACGTTTTAGTGATTTCTTTGTTCATACGTTTATGTCAAATCATGACTCCAAACAGCACAATGAGAGTAACTAACATTTATATTTTAATGCATGAAAAAGGCTGGCGATGGATGACAATTGTGATTGGCTTAGATATCTTCGGTATCGGTTGGGAGCGACAATTTTGATGACAGGAGAAACGGATTGGCTGGTGCAGTTTTCGTGGCGACTCCTCCTTTCCTCCACATGCTTTTGGGTGGGTGGTGGGGGAGTGAGGAGGGGGGCGGGGGTATTGGAACGCACCCAAGATTTCAACTCAGCATGAGGCAAATGTACTAAAGGAACAACTGTGCGATGGGTCCATTGGTAGCTGTGCCTGACCACCAAGGCCAGCGACCTCCACAAGCACGTGGGCTCGTCCGGGATTTGAACCCGGGACCTCTCGCACCCAAAGCGAGAATCATACCCCTAGACCAACGAGCCATGAAACCATCCCTTCGGTGCCTCCTTTTCCTTCGGTGTTCCTATCCAGATGCATTTGAGCAGGCAAGTAGGACTGTGGTGGTGTTGGTCCTCCCAGGAAAGTCAGACATGTAGACGCCTAGGACAGAGGCGGAACAAAAAATCCAAGATGCTGGCGGGCTGCTTGGCGACGCTTTCTGCATCGACTGAAAAGGAAACGGACATGTGTCAAGGACACATGAGCGGAAAGCTACACGGATCCTAGAGGCCAACAAGTCACAAGAAAACATCTGGGAAGAGTTCTTCTTCCACCGGTCCATCTAGACTCATCAGAAAGGGTCAATAAAACAGGGAAGGCCCTTCCATGAACTGCAGGAGACTGCACTCTGGAAATTTGTAGAGTCAGATGTCAATCACAGGTAACCGTGTGTGAGGAATTATGGTAGTTTCTTGTTGGTAGTGTGGCCGAGAGGTCCGAGGTGCTGGATTTTAGGTACCAGTCTCTTTGGGGGTGTGGGTTCAAATCCCACTATTGCCACCCTCAGCTGGACCTGTTTTTCATCACTCTCAAGGACTTCCCTGGCAAGTGCTAGTACCACATCATGGAGAGAGACAAAACAACGCCCGTCTCTCAATGGTGACTTTGTCGGCAGTTGCTGACGGTGGGACACATGGCATTAAATGTGACTTTTTCTCTTGGGAGGAGCTTAAAACTTTGACTTTGCCACCTGAAACATATAGGATTTGAATTCAGGCACCATAATCCTTGTGCAGCAACATAGCCATCCCCAAAAGTTAACTGAGCTGCTGTTTAAGGCAAGAACTTCAATGACTTTACTCAATGGGGCGCTGTGAGGGAAGAAGGGTGTGGAGGAGGCATGGATCGTCAACTCAGGTTGGGTGTCCGCTTATGCTTTTCCACCATGCTTACCGGATGGCGTTTACTGCATGCAAAATCTAGAGAACAGAGAGCACACCCGACGAGGATGGGATTCGAACCCACGCGTGCAAAGCACAATGGATTAGCAGTCCATCACCTTCACCACTCGGTCACCTCGTCATAGCCTTACCTCCAAAATTGAAAAAAAAAAATGGGTTGACAGAAAAATATTAGATTTAAGAATATTAGAATATATTTTTTAGAATATTCAATTTTTTTGACTTTGTTATTGTAAATCAGCTATATTATCCACCCACGCAAGAAAAAGTTGTAAGAAATTATTTGAAAGGGCAGCACGTTTTAGTGATTTCTTTGTTCATACGTTTATGTCAAATCATGACTCCAAACAGCACAATGAGAGTAACTAACATTTATATTTTAATGCATGAAAAAGGCTGGCGATGGATGACAATTGTGATTGGCTTAGATATCTTCGGTATCGGTTGGGAGCGACAATTTTGATGACAGGAGAAACGGATTGGCTGGTGCAGTTTTCGTGGCGACTCCTCCTTTCCTCCACATGCTTTTGGGTGGGTGGTGGGGGAGTGAGGAGGGGGGCGGGGGTATTGGAACGCACCCAAGATTTCAACTCAGCATGAGGCAAATGTACTAAAGGAACAACTGTGCGATGGGTCCATTGGTAGCTGTGCCTGACCACCAAGGCCAGCGACCTCCACAAGCACGTGGGCTCGTCCGGGATTTGAACCCGGGACCTCTCGCACCCAAAGCGAGAATCATACCCCTAGACCAACGAGCCATGAAACCATCCCTTCGGTGCCTCCTTTTCCTTCGGTGTTCCTATCCAGATGCATTTGAGCAGGCAAGTAGGACTGTGGTGGTGTTGGTCCTCCCAGGAAAGTCAGACATGTAGACGCCTAGGACAGAGGCAGAACAAAAAATCCAAGATGCTGGCGGGCTGCTTGGCGACGCTTTCTGCATCGACTGAAAAGGAAACGGACATGTGTCAAGGACACATGAGCGGAAAGCTACACGGATCCTAGAGGCCAACAAGTCACAAGAAAACATCTGGGAAGAGTTCTTCTTCCACCGGTCCATCTAGACTCATCAGAAAGGGTCAATAAAACAGGGAAGGCCCTTCCATGAACTGCAGGAGACTGCACTCTGGAAATTTGTAGAGTCAGATGTCAATCACAGGTAACCGTGTGTGAGGAATTATGGTAGTTTCTTGTTGGTAGTGTGGCCGAGAGGTCCGAGGTGCTGGATTTTAGGTACCAGTCTCTTTGGGGGTGTGGGTTCAAATCCCACTATTGCCACCCTCAGCTGGACCTGTTTTTCATCACTCTCAAGGACTTCCCTGGCAAGTGCTAGTACCACATCATGGAGAGAGACAAAACAACGCCCGTCTCTCAATGGTGACTTTGTCAGCAGTTGCTGACGGTGGGACACATGGCATTAAATGTGACTTTTTCTCTTGGGAGGAGCTTAAAACTTTGACTTTGACACCTGAAACATATAGGATTTGAATTCAGGCACCATAATCCTTGTGCAGCAACATAGCCATCCCCAAAAGTTAACTGAGCTGCTGTTTAAGGCAAGAACTTCAATGACTTTACTCAATGGGGCGCTGTGAGGGGAGAAGGGTGTGGAGGAGGCATGGATCGTCAACTCAGGTTGGGTGTCCGCTTATGCTTTTCCACCATGCTTACCGGATGGCGTTTACTGCATGCAAAATCTAGAGAACAGAGAGCACACCCGACGAGGATGGGATTCGAACCCACGCGTGCAAAGCACAATGGATTAGCAGTCCATCACCTTCACCACTCGGTCACCTCGTCATAGCCTTACCTCCAAAATTGAAAAAAAAAATGGGTTGACAGAAAAATATTAGATTTAAGAATATTAGAATATATTTTTTAGATTTTTCAATTTTTTTGACTTTGTCATTGTAAATCAGCTATATTATCCACCCACGCAAGAAAAAGTTGTAAGAAATTATTTGAAAGGGCAGCACGTTTTAGTGATTTCTTTGTTCATACGTTTATGTCAAATCATGACTCCAAACAGCACAATGAGAGTAACTAACATTTATATTTTAATGCATGAAAAAGGCTGGCGATGGATGACAATTGTGATTGGCTTAGATATCTTCGGTATCGGTTGGGAGCGACAATTTTGATGACAGGAGAAACGGATTGGCTGGTGCAGTTTTCGTGGCGACTCCTCCTTTCCTCCACATGCTTTTGGGTGGGTGGTGGGGGAGTGAGGAGGGGGGCGGGGGTATTGGAACGCACCCAAGATTTCAACTCAGCATGAGGCAAATGTACTAAAGGAACAACTGTGCGATGGGTCCATTGGTAGCTGTGCCTGACCACCAAGGCCAGCGACCTCCACAAGCACGTGGGCTCGTCCGGGATTTGAACCCGGGACCTCTCGCACCCAAAGCGAGAATCATACCCCTAGACCAACGAGCCATGAAACCATCCCTTCGGTGCCTCCTTTTCCTTCGGTGTTCCTATCCAGATGCATTTGAGCAGGCAAGTAGGACTGTGGTGGTGTTGGTCCTCCCAGGAAAGTCAGACATGTAGACGCCTAGGACAGAGGCGGAACAAAAAATCCAAGATGCTGGCGGGCTGCTTGGCGACGCTTTCTGCATCGACTGAAAAGGAAACGGACATGTGTCAAGGACACATGAGCGGAACCGTGTTTGAGGAATTATGGTAGTTTCTTGTTGGTAGTGTGGCCGAGAGGTCCGAGGTGCTGGATTTTAGGTACCAGTCTCTTTGGGGGTGTGGGTTCAAATCCCACTATTGCCACCCTCAGCTGGACCTGTTTTTCATCACTCTCAAGGACTTCCCTGGCAAGTGCTAGTTCCACATCAAGGAGAGCGACGAAACACTTGCTTTTTTATGCGTTTCCACCATGCTTACCGGCTGGCGTTTACTGCATGCAAAATCCGGAAAACAGAGATCGCACCCGACGAGAATGGGATTCCAACCCACGAGTGCAAAGCACAATGGATTAGCAGTTCAGCACCTTAACCACTCAGTCACCTCATCTATAGCCAAAGCACATTGGGAGTTTGGTACAGCCTCCAATGGGCCCCTCTCTCAATTGCTCCTTCAGGACATTTGCCTCATGTTTAGGAGAAACTTTTCAATATGTTTGCTACTCTCCCCCTTTCCTACAGTCCCCCACAACTGAACATCTCCTACCCCTAATTCTTGAAACCTCAACCCTAACCCTATAAACCCTAACCTCAAAAGTGAGAAAAAATGACTTGACTGAAACGTATTTCATGTTTTTACTTTATATTGTAGCACATCAGGTACATGATCCACCCATGTGAGAAAAAGTTGTCAGAAATGATTTGAAAGGGAATAAATGAGATCAATGTGTTGTGCTGAAAATCTAGAAAAGAAATAAGACCTACAAAATTGAAAAAAATGGGTTGACAGAAAAATATTTGATTTTTTTTACTTTAAATCGAAGTAAACCCCCCAGAATCTGGCCATGCAAGAAAAAGGCGTCAGAAATGATTGGAAAGGGAGAGAATGACATCAATGTGTTGTGCTGAAAATCTAGAAGAGACATGATTATAGTCTTACCTCCAAAATTGAAATAAATGGGTTGACAGAAAAAAATTAAAATTTTTGTAATTTATAAGCCATGGGGGTGGGGTATTGGAACCCACCCAAGATTTCCCCTCAGCATGAGGCAAATGTACTAAAGGAGTAACTGTGAAAGGGGTCCATTAGCAGCTGTGCCTGACCACCAAGGCTAACTACCTCTGCGGGGTAGTTAACCCCGGACCTCTCGCACCTAAAGTGAGAATCATACCCCTAGACCAACTAGCCGTGAAATACCCACTCTGGTGCCTCCTTTTCCTTCGGTGTTCCCATCCAGATGCATTTTAGCAGGCAAGTAGGGCTGTTGTGGTGTTGGTCCTCCTAAAAGAATCAGAGATGTAGACGCCTAAGACAGAGGCGGACCAAAAAATCCAAGATGCTGGCTGACTGCTGACTGCAAAGTGCCACCAGACTGCTTGGTGGCGCTTTGCACATCGACTGAAAAGGAAGTGGACATGTGTCAAGGACACCTGCACAAAAGGCAATGGGGCAGCCTGTCGTCTAGTGGCTAAGGTACATGACTGGGACCCCTGAGGTTGGTGGCCCAAGCCCCAGTCTAGCCACAACAAGAACACCACAATCTCCCCTAATACAAGAATAATCTAGATATGTGCAAAACAGCGGCCAAATTCATCCCAAGTTTTATCTGCACGGGAAATTTGATCCAGCCTGACGCAACAATGGGATCGTAGCAGCTGACGTAGCATCTGTTGCTGTATAACACAGAAATGACCTAAAGTTTAGAATCTTGGCAAATTAAATCACTCATAGCTTTACACAAGTTTACCTCAGAGGAATTTACATTTACTGCTTATGTCTGTGTCGGTAAATTTGCACCCTGGCTAGTATTCAGGAGTGACCAGTTATTTGCCTTGTTTGTACACATTTAGGTCCACCGCTACATTGCAGTATAATTTTACTAAAGACATTAAACACTAATACTTCTAATTTAGACCTTATAAAACATACCTCTTTGCAAAATATGTATTTTCCTTGTATTTTTTTTTCCAGTGGAGAATACGACAGTGCTTCACTGTAATATTAAACCACAAGCAAACCAAAGAAAACCAACCCTGGTCAAACAATCAAACAATAAAAAGCATAAAACTGACAAACTGACCAGAATATATTGAAGAAACGTGGTTTTCTTCAGAACTTCTATATGTTCAGGTCAGTTTTATGCTTTTATTGTTTGTTTTATGTGCTATTTACCCTTTTTTTCCCTCCACATGCATTTCTTGTATGTTGATATTCTATTGTGCAGTTTGCTAGATTGCTTTTTATTTAGAAAACATGATCCTGTAACTATTATTGTTATTATTGTTGTTGTTGATAGTCTCAATATTATTAAAATTAATGAACCATCAGTATGTTAAGGTATTTGTGTAAAATGCAAAATAATGTAATAAAAAATCATTTGAAGAACTATTGCACTTTTTTGTAATACTTGAATGTTGAAGTGGCCCTCCTATGAGAAGACGATACCATCAGTGGTCCCAAGGCCATTTGAGTTTGAAACTCCTGCTCTATGCCATAAGATGAAGGGTTGTCCAGAAATGGATCATGACAGTGAATTCAGCCTACAGCGGTGGCCTGCTCAGTCACCAGATCTCAGTCCAATCAGTCATCTGAAGTGTGAGATGGAACGAGCCTCTGGGAGAGGAGATTCGCTAACCTTTGGGAAAGCGCTGAAGTTCGCATGGTCCAGTGTCCCTGACACTTTCAAAACTCAAATACAAGAGGAGGGACCGACTCCCTATTAGGTGCCAGCTTACTGTACATTCAATTCTTTGGTCTGTGCGTTTCAACGAAATCTCTTTTATGTTAGAAAATATATAGTACCAGGCAAAGAATTGTGGCAGTTCTCCAGAAGCTGAATTATTTAGCTGTTCATCCAGTTCTGTGAGCTTTGAGGGTTTACGAGTTTTATTGACGCTTTTCTCATTCATCTTTTCGCTTTTCTTTTTCAGGATCAGGTCAGGTAAATTTTTGCCTTGAGATTTTCTCAATGGTTCATTCAGTATGGAATGACTCAATGTCTCATCTACAAGCCATTAAATATTCAGTCTTTCTTAACAACAAATGTAAAACTGTAGCCAATAGCCTATTTTGATCCCAATATGGGAGTAGTTATTTAAGAATCAATTTAAGATGTTTCTGTGATAATGCTTGAAATCATGTTTTTAAGTGCATAGGCGTAAATTATATTTTCTTTGTTGAGGACTGACTGTAGTAACCTACAGCATTGTACAGTTAAATGCCTTATTTAACTGTATACATTTTAACTACAGTGCATTACATGAACACTGTACTTGAACTCATAATGACACAATTGTTATGTTTTTAAAAGAATGCCACCTTTTCTTAGCAGAAATTGTTGGAGATACTACTGATAGCTCATCTAAGTGTTTGTTTATAAGGCCAGCCCACACTGATAAAAAAGTGAGCGATAAGAGACATGAAAAATAAGAATCAAGTCAACATAGCATAGCATCTGCACTTGTTAACCCAACTACCACCTATGTTATTTTCAATTATCCTTTCCACAAACAACATGAAGCTGGTTTCCCACTCTTTCAAATTAAATCATGACAAACAAATTACAAATACATGAACATGCTATCAAACAAAAATACTCAAGTCCCCCGAGAAGCAACTGGATTAATCTGTTCCCTCCTTCTTCCTGAAAACCTCTGAAGCAGCTTCTACAAATTGAACTAATGTCATTGATATAAAACATATCCTTTAGTCAATAATTTAGAATGTTTCAACATCAAGCTGCTTGATTTTTTTTTTTTTTTGCTTTAATATTTGGTCAAAGCAGAATGTGTGGATATATTTCAACCAAGGAGACTTCCTGACCTTGGGGAGATTTAATGAACAGGGAGAAAATTAAATGGTTTGATGCACATCCAGTTTTCTGAGATGTGGACAGAAGAACAGAAAAACAAGAGGGTCAGCATGACCCTCCAGCAGTTGCTTCACAGGGCAAGATCTGATTGAGAGAGGCGCGAAATGTGACAAAAAGAGGGATCAAAGACAGCAAGCAAAAAACCTGGAAGGAAAGGTGTCAACACAGACATTGTACCACACCATAGTTGAAACACTTTTTTCCTTTGTCCAGTCCTTATCCAGTCATGATATGGAAACAGTTTGACTTGCATTGTCAGTCTGCAATTTTATGAAAATGTATTGGAAACACACTCAGACATGTTTATATACCTTACCAAACTCCATCTGGGAAAAACTCATGACAAATGCAATTTGCAAATTTTTGTCACCACTAGGGGCCTGTCACAAAAGATGTTGATTGTGATTAACAATGGCAATGGGGACATCCTGGCATGTTGGAATACCAGACATGATAAATAAAGCACTAAATATTCAATACAAGTTAGCCTGTAGCTTCTGTGCTTTATATGGATCCTAAAAAAAGAAAAATATTTTATTCTGACAATACACCAACATAACATACACTTGTATTAGCATCAAATTGGTGTCATAAGGCACTAGATAAATACAGACTATTCACAAATCTTTTCATTACTGAAGGTTAAAAAACTCATACCTATCATTGGTAATATTTTCTCATGTGCATAGTTAATTTTTGCATTATGTAACCTTGTCTAGTTCGCATCAGTTTAGCATAGCTAACTAACTGTTAACAAGTGTGAATGACTGGCGCTGAAACATTGACAGCTTGATATGAATTAACATATCGTGATACATAAATTATTGATATGATACTGATGCTAAATCCCTGCTCTACTGTCTGTTCCAGAGAATCGGTTTTGTTTTTCCTATGATATGCTTCCTGCCATGGCCACCATGTTATTCTGAATAAGAACATCTGCTAAGTAAAAAATGCTAAAAAAAAAAAAAAAACCATAATGGAACGATGCTCTATTTTTAAAGGAGCGGTACACAAGCCGACATATAAAACAAGCAGTGGCGATGACCACTGCCCACTTATGTGGTCATGCATTCATATCTATTTAAAGATCTGTACTCTCCGCAGACAAACACAAAGCAATCCCCCGCAGACTTTCTTATTTTCCCACTTTGTGGCAATTAAAGACCCTGATTGTGATGTTAACTAGAAATCTGTGCGGAGAACTGAGGAGGGTGACAGCGCATTGGGTTTTTTTTTTCCCAGTACAATCCCCGTTTAATGCGTTCAACTCAATAGACTGAATCGCTGTTAAATTAACGGGGCACTAAACAAAAGCGGGAAAATCTTGAGTTTGTTCTCAAGGGACACCCCTTAAATTAGAAAGACAGGGCTGAAAAACAACTTGTTGGAAGAGTAGAGTCTGTGGCTTGCGGACATTAACGATGCTTCTTGTTCTGCTCTAATCTTTGGGATTGTTGTTGGAGTAACACACAGCTGCAGCTTTTCAATGGCCTCACTCTGCTAGGAACACCTGGCT